GTCAATTAATGGTTTGTCTTGCATCATCTTATCTCCGCAAGCCCATATTGCAACCTTTTTTGTGGTGTCCGAAATCCAATTGACAGAGTCTTTATGTTTATAGTTTTCAGAAATTAATCTCACGTCTATCTTATTTTCATATGTATATGTTTTGCGTCAAGAGATTCTGGGCCGTTTCAGAGTGTTTCAGGTTTATTTGTAGGATTTTGATCTTCAGGGTTTGTCAACACATTCGCAAAATGACCCTCCTCTCCGCATTTAATGCTTCCATCTTCTACACTTGCTCATGCTTTCCAAATTGCGCATGCTTTCCCCATATGCCCGTATTCAACACATCTGAATTTCTTCATTAGTGATTTTGCAGATTGTCCAGCCGATCTTAATCTTTTCTTAACTCCACCATTGAAAAATAGCTAATGATGCTTCAGAGGACTTCCAGTGCGGCCCGGTATGGATGGGTCTTATTTACAACCGCACGTAACATGGTGAAAAGGCGCTGTCCAGGAAACCGCTCACTTTGAGTACGTCTTAACTGGATTTTGAACGGTCACCTATACCAGAGAGGCGGTAACTACTCGCCTCTGTCGCAGGAGTTTCATCGGCTGGCTTTTTACCGCATCCTCCACTCCTGTCGCCCATCGTCGTGGATTGCATATTCGTTGCAACTTATTTCGCAACTAACCTGCTGCAGACCAATGGGTGTGGTGTGCCGTCAAATAACGTAACGTTGTGTGTATATGTAAGTTTTATTCGTAATTGCAGATAGAAATTCTGATTCATTCATTGGTAGTGCCTTTGTCAGAATACGATTCAACAACAACCATGATTGCAACAATTATGGTAATTGTTCGTATAAATAAAGAAAAGGTTTTACAGTGAACACTTTGAACAACAAATGAACCAACTTTTTTACCGCATTTGGGAATGAGCAGTTAACTACTGTAACTGTAATGTTCCTGAAAATCGCTGAACATATTTCCAAGTGTTTTTAGTTCATCAACGGGATGCTTTGAAGAAATTAATCGGTATGATTGGCACAAATAGTCAGGGCATTGCGACGAGTCCGTCGGCAGAATGCGTGCAAAAGCGCAATTTAACAATGCCTGAAGGTAATAAAACAAAACTTGATATATGAATATATTGATCACATTTACAATAAAGTGGTAGAAGGTAAGATAACAACAATTACTAATTAGTTAAATATCCTATCATTGTTCCAGACGTGTACATGTGTATTCTTTAAAGTCTCAATATTGAAGGTGCTGGACTTTATCTACTTCAAAGCAAGGTTAACCACTGTTGTGTACCAAAAGCTTTACCAGCTCTGATGAAAGCCTTGAGGAACCCTTGGCATCCACCTCTCAATTGGTAAGTTCAGAAACTACTACAAAACGAGGAAGGAAAAACTTTATCACGCCTAAATTAGTTGAAGCTTCAGATAGATGTCAATTAAGCATAAGAGATTCTGTCTATATACTACAGGCTGTAGAAGATCTTAGCTGTGATAATTTTCCGACAAAAAAATCGTCTATTCTACGGAATCTATAAAAACAGATTTGCGGAATAATATGCCTGAAAAAGTGACCGTTCACCTAAAGCTGTGCTGAACGCACTATATGACTATACAAGTACAAATAATGAGCTGTGACACAACTGCGTCTAATTTAGGGCGATTGAAAGCAGCTTGTGTACTTTTGGAATAAAAACTAAAC